CCAAGCAAGAGAAGCAGCTTTCTATAACTCATGCTATAGCCATGCTGTGAAACAAACGTGAAAGAGTTATGCGATTAGTACATACCATCAGCACATCATCTTTGTTAGCAGGGAGAGGACCATCTGGGTTGGTAAGTTAACCCCACAATGGGACTTTTAAACATTAGAACAATTCTGGACATTGTTTTTGTGACCACTGTATAATTTTGAATTTCTCATCACTTTCCGTCTTGCAAAAAATGATCACCTGGGTAAAGCTACCCAGTGGGAGCACAGCAATAAAAATTTGACAAGAGTTCTAACCCAATCCTACTCTATACAAAAATACATGCATATAAAGAAGAAATGAGTCAAAGCTGGATTAAGCACAAAGCTGGATTAAGGTGATCTAGACCGTGGCACAGGGGGTGTAGGCCCAATTACACATACTTGAAAGTGCTTTACTGGAAAGTCTCATCTAAAAAAAAAAAAATCTTTTGAAGCTTTACGACAGGTGCATTGTTACAAAACCCCTGTGAACAAGAAAAGTGAACCATGAAATCACAGCACACAAAAAAAGTGCATGAGGGTGCTTAGTACTCTTCCGAAAAAGAGGACCACAATATCATTGAACCCCCTGGGTGCAGGGCTCCTGACATGGGCAACACACTCTAGTCCACCTAGCAGTTAAGCCAGATGGACCCTGATTCTTAGTGACCAGCCAAAGCCGGTCCACCAAGTTCTTGTTAGGGGGTCTCCCGAAGTAAGACTCCCTAGTGAGGGGAGGAAAAAAGACCCATTAGGCCACAGTTTCTCCCCCCAAATCCAGACAGGCCTCCAAAAGGCCTGCACCCTCTGTCATCTATGGAATAAAATGTGCAATAAATAAATAAGAGTGACTCCTTTAATGCTGCACAATACAATTCCACAGGAGAAAAGACTGTTCTAATCTCTCCAACACCCATGCTCAGAGATTTCAGACAAGATCATTTTCACATACTGACACAGAGGGTGATGGTTCAAGATGGAGGTGAGCACAGGCTACTAGTGTCATTCTTTCTTACAAGGACCTCCATTGAATTGTGCTCAGCATACTGCCATGAGGTTTGATTGAAGTCCAATCCACAAAAGACCCAAAGTCATCATTCCACCACAACATCTGAATAGTGAACGAACAAACAAAAGCAAATAACGAGGTATTACATACACCCTTTTATACCTTGATGTTAAAAAAATAAACATATGGATAATTTCCTTTCAAAGTCCATGTGTTTGTTTATTTGGTACTGTCACAAGGTGTGCATATGCCGTTCTCTTTATTTTCTTTTACTCTGAACATCCATCTACATTTACATTCAATGAATCAACTGCCTCTTGTCAACTGTTGTTCTAGTATTTGCCCTCTCTTAGCCGTGGCACAGCTACATGCGAGAAGCATCACAAATATTCTCATTTATCCTGTAAGACACTTTGTAAATTTTCTGTACTAGTGTTTAACCCTTTGCTGCCTCATACATTGGTATGTATTTAGAATTTGAAATAAGTATGTCTACAATGTAAATTGATACATTGATCCAGGGTTCTATTAAAAAACAGTGACTTATCCTTTTTGCCCCCTTCCCTGTCCTAACATATCCCTCCCCCTCCATAGATGTACACTTACCTCGAGTCCGACACCTGCAGCTGGTTTACATCCTGCGCGGAAAGTCCTACACTGTAGACCACCATTGGCTTCTATGGGGCTTGTCTACCTCCAACTCCTGGCCAGAGACTTCTATGGCACTCTACTGCGCAGACACTCAGGCCAGGATAGGGAGAACTTTTGCATTTCGGGATGTCAAAAAACACAAGGCCACAGGCATTCATTTCCATCTTCTCTGACCACCTCTGAGTGCTCAGTTATCACAAACAGCTGTTTTTTTAAAATGCTCTCTATTAATTAAATGGTGACCACTGGAAGCCTATATTCATGCAGTTTCAAATACTCATCAAGAAGCAGTATTTCTAGGCTTACAGAATTAGTGTACTTTCATAGAACCACCCTCCCCCTCTGCAGGTTAATACTTACCGAGATACGGCACCCATGGCCTCCAAGAATTGTTTACATCCCATGCCGAACTCCTCTCACTGCCTGCTGCATCTGTGCAGTAGAGCCCCATAGACTGGCCAGGAGATGCAGGGAGATGAGCCCCATAGACGTCTATGAGGCTCTGCTGCACTGATGCAGCAGGCATTGAGGGGAGTTCTGTATGGGATATAAACAATCCTCGGAGGCCACAGGTGTTGGATTCTGGTAAATATTAATCTGTGGAAGGGGGATGGTGGTTCTATGAAAGTCTGCTTAATCTTTAAGTCTGGACATACTGCTTCCTGATAAGATAGAAGTCTACAGGGCACATCTCCCGGAGATGGAAATAGATGAGTCCCATAGAATTCTAGGTCTGTGGTGGTCTGTGAGATGTTAGGAGAAAAAGAATAAATGAAAAGCCCCCTTATTCTTTAACTGGGGCATGGTATGATTCAAGATTATAAATGCATCATGAAGATTTTGGGACACAAACTAAAAATAATTGAAAGAATTTGCAAAATTGCTGCATTTGGCACTGATCTGTATATACCACAGGTTAGATGGACAGTACAGTGTATATTCAGTCAGCACGTGTTTTTGTTTTATTATTGTTGCTTAAAGTAATTTTATGTGACTATCATATTTCTATATGCATGGTCTTTAATATTTCTGTTTTAGTTTTAAAGTGTAAGTAGAGTAGGGAATGGGTAAAACCTCTCTCAGGTAATTTTTTGCTGTCTCTGTCCCACTAGGGAGATATCCATCCACTTCCAGTGTAGGAGATGCAACAGGAATGAGAGGAAATCTACCCAAAACTCAGAGTAATTGTAATCTTAGACAGCTGTGTTCATAACATTTGTCCCAATTGGATTCTTTACCCTCATCTTTTGTTCTGCTGATAGTTCTAATATTTTGAATCCCCCTTACTTTTTGTCTCAGTGACAATGGTCACCAGAAAGAGTGAATCTCCCCAGCAGGAACACAGGAAGGAAGGTAAAAATGAACGAGAAATGAAAAAAATGCTTGCAAACTAGTTTATTATTTATTAAATAAAATGGTATCAAGCAATATAAATAAAACAAGCAATAATAATTGTATAATAATATTGTCTGGACATAAAACAACATTGTATTAACATAATAACTGTTAAAATAAACTTATGTCACAAAGGCAATGGAACTTATTAAAGAAATACACGTTTTCTAACAGGCAGATACTATATGTAGTAAATGTATAATTATTAATATATTATATTCACATTCTAAACAGATGTAATACTGCAGATCTCTAAATACTGTATTCTGTCATTCTACATAATTGAGCACCATTGATACATTCTGGATATTCTGATCTGTATTACACATGGCAGTTGGGATCAGTGTACTTTGCAGTCAGTTGCAGCAAAAGCTCTTTTATATATTATAAAGTCTGTTGTCAATGTATCAGGTATAACACTCAATGCTTCCTTCATTGGAAATAATACTGATAATACTGAATAACTTGGTTGGAATTAATACAGATAATACTGAATAACGTGATTGGAAATAATACAGATAATACTGAATAACGTGATTGGAAATAATACAAGCAATACTAAATAACTTAATTGGAAATAGTACAGGCAATACTGAATAAACTTCATTGGAAATAATACACATAATACTGAATAAACTTAATTGGAAATAATACAGATAATACTGAATAACTTCATTGGAAATAATACTGAATAACGTCATTGGAAATAATACAGGCAATACTAAACAACTTCATTGGAAATAGTACAGGCAATACTGAATAGTTTCATTGGAAATATTACAGATAATACTGAATAACTTGATTGGAAATAATACAGGCAATACTGAATAGTTTCATTAGAAATAATACTGCTAATACTGAATAACTTAATTGTAAATAATACTGATAATGCTGAATAACTTCATTGGAAATAGTACAGTCAATACTAAATAACTTCATTTGAAATAATACTGATAATACTGAATAACTTAATTTGAAATAATACAGATAATACTGAATAGTTTCATTGGAAATAATACTGATAATACTGAATAGTTTCATTGGAAATAATACTGATAATACTGAATAGTTTCATTGGAAATAATACTGATAATACTGAATAGTTTCATTGGAAATAATACTGATAATACGGAATAGTTTCATTGGAAATAATACTGATAATACTGAATAGACTCAAAGTAATCTGTTTTGACAACACTGACATAGGTTCATAGCTGTGAGTGTGAGCCTATATGTGACATTGCATTTATACAAGTAATAATGGGTATTTCCTTCCTCAAACTGAAATCTTAAAAATATATAGTCATGTTAGGTTAAAACGTAGGGATGTTCCCCCTGTAATCTTGCCGTCTGTCTGTTCATGCGTCCATTTCAGGTGATTTCAACCTAAAGTAGAACTGAAGCCTAAAGTTTATTTTTCGTTTTGGACAGAGTAAGGGGTAGTTAAAACCCCTGTTAGATTTTTTTGCAATTTGTGTCCCATCTTGGAGATTTCCCTTCACTTCCTGTCTGACAGCCCCAACAGGAACGAAGAGGAAACCCCTGCAAAGAGAATGAAATCTTTGGTGGCTAGCAGGACTTTTAACCCCATGGGAAGATTTCCTATCTATTCCTGTTCTGGTGACAACCCAAAATTTGGGATATTCTTTCACTTTCAGTGATGACAGTCACCACGACCAGTAGAGGGGGTGAATCCCCTTAATGGGAACACAGACCGCAATAGAAATCTCACAAGTGTTCTAAACTCCCTCACAAGTGTTCTAAACAAGTGTATATTTACTAATAATTTAACATTTAATATTTACCTCCATTTTAATCTCCATATGTTGTAATTGTCTAACATTGTCCAACAATTCAAATGTCACTGTGAGATAGCTTGGTGAGATTCACCGCTTTATTCATATTTCTTGTAATGTAGTTATATTCTTATGTCTTCATTTTTCCTGGAATGAAGTCTAAACACACGGAGTTCTCTTGCTAAAGGCTTTTCCTCTGGACAAGGGTGAGGATGTAGCTGACATTCATCTGATATATGGACACAGCTCCCATTTCTGCACTGACAAGGGTGGTACCAGCAAAATATGGATCCTCCAATCAAGAACAATAGGGCAGTTGGCCAACCGAGCATGACTGCCTCACCAATTTCCTGCTGCTGGACAATTTTACAATAAGAAAAGCAAACGGCTCTCATGACATTGACGGCTACAAGTGTCACGGGCATTAGCACCAAAATGCCAGCAATTATGTAGCTGATACCGGCAAATAGAAGTAAGCAGCGTTGGCTGCCCGTGTTCTTCTTGCAGCACTTGTTAAACAGCATGCCAATAAGACCGTTCAAAAATCCAGTAATTGCTGCCAGCACTGCAAAGGACATGAGCGCTTTAGAAATCTTCAGATCTGGAGTCAGTGAATTGGATGCAGAATAGGATTGACAAGACATTGAACTGCCGCTTTGCCTCACACAAGTTACCCACAGCCCATCCCACCGGCTTATCCAGTGTCCATCAAGTCTCCTGCCATAGCTATTGCTTTCTGCTACAATAGACACTCTCCAATGGGGCATCCCACAGACAGCAAACGTGAGAATCATGGCTATGCCACCCAATATCATGGCAATGGACTGGACTATACAGTGAACCATGATGGCAATAAGCTTAGGTCCTTTCTTAGAAGATCAGGAGGAATCTGAGGAAGGAGAATCACACTTTTTAACACACCTTTGATTGTTCAGAGTCAATGATTTGACTGCTTTTTCTTGATTTGTTCAGTATCCTTGCTTTGAATCTCTCTGGGTGTTCAATATGTCCTATTTAAATATTAGTGTCTTCTCTGTGGATGTTTAATTTCTTCTCTTTGGTTGTTCACTGTGCTGTCTCTGGACTTAGTATTTAGCTTTGATGTGCAGTGTCTTCTCTTTGATGGTTCTGTCTCCTCTCCTTGGATGTTCAGTGTCTTCTCTTTAAACCTTCAGTGTTCCCAGATGTATTTCATGTTCAGGTCTCAGTTTCAGCAAGTTCTGGAAAACCGTGCCTTACCAGTCAATTTATTATGGCTCTGGCATGTGTATGAAGTATATGTGTTACATAACTTGTGAGGTGCGGCTTATCCAAGACGTCCCGTCTAAACACAACTCAGTGATCCAACTCAGCACATTAACACCTGAGGCTATGAAAACCTGACACTCTCAGCACAGGGAAACCACACGCCTAAGGGATGTCTATGGGGAAACTGTGATTAATGTGTTTAGTATCTTCTGTGTACAGAATGTACATTATGTACAACACTAAAAAAACTACTAGTTGACATGTGATTATTTAGATCAGCCTTTCTGAACCTTTTGATTCCTTTGAAACCTGAAATTATTTTTAGGTCTTAGAGTATACCAGCTAAAGTTAATTCATATGGGGTCAGTGGGAAAAAATCCCCTTACATTGATGGCCAGTGGTCAGAATATCACACTTATAGGCAGCTAAAAAGATTACTGTGTCATGCCATTGACTATGCTAAGTGGTGTTGGTCTCAGAACCATACAGGCACCATCAAATGAGTGGTCAATCAGCCTCAGGTCAAGGAACCCTAGACCTGTGTAGGGTTTGTAGGGACCCTGGGGTTCCACAGAACCCTCATTGAGAATGGCTAATCTAGATGTTTTAGCTAGATGTTAGGTGGTAAAAGCTAAGATTTTAAAACATAAAGGTAACTACAAACATGGACTTCTGAGTGTAAATAAGCAACCATACCCTCAGTTGAACTCAGTTCATCGCTATTCAGCAGGGCCAGTGCTAGACTATTTTGCGCCCTATGCAAGACCAGCTACTTGCACCCCCCCCCCAGCCCCCCTCTTGCAGTGCAGCCCTCAATACCTTGCACCCCCCCCCAGCCCCCCTCTTGCAGTGCAGCCCTCAATACCCCCCTGAGCGTGCACGGCCCCACTCTCCTGCCGGCTAGCATCCACAGGCGATAGATAGATGTAAGCATTTGGAGAATGTCACCAGCACACCAATTTCTTTACAGCAAATAAGTGATTATTTATTGACATGTGCTGTCTCTCGTTTTGCAGTTCAATGCAAAGGAAGGACATTGGATTTTTGGCAGGCTTAGCAGCTCTTTTGTTTTTGCATTTGTAGAGAGGGTACTTATCCTGAAAAAGAAGAAAACGAATGCAACCACCACTTCTAAAGAAATAAGAGAGCTGCAGTGTTTTAAACATTTCTAACATTTAGATATACTATACTTTAAGAATGGATACATATTTAAGGTAAAATTTCACTGGTGTTAAAACACTTCCACGAGGGTTGCTATTAAAGTTTCTTTCTAATTTAAAAAATATATAATGCCAATTAAAGGGAAAATTGCAGTTGGCTTTTAAAAGTTGGCTTTTATTTTCAAAACAATAAAAATTCAGGCCCAGTGGATGTTCAAAGGCTGATCTGCATCTTCATGCCCCTGCAGCAAACTAGGGGGATAGTGCAGTTTGGTCAAAGCTGTACCCCTCTATGTCACTTCAGAAGGAAAGATGTACATGTAGGTAGTCGTTGTCAAATGGAGATATGCCAGTTCCGACAATTCGTATGAGGTGACCTCTGCACCAAACGCAATATTAATCAAAGGGATGAGGGGGCTAAAGCTTCTACTTTGCCTAGGCCCATCTCTGATATAAACCCACACAAAAATGTTTTTGGTCTCCACCAAATTATTCACTTTATAAAAATACATAAGCAATGTAGTATCCAACATTTATCTAGGTTTTTCCCCCCCCCTTTCTATGTTGATATCATAGCGTTGAACAATACCTTCTCAAAATGCATGTGTTTGTGCCAAGCTCCTTCAATGCACCTTTAGTCCATTCTTTCCCAGGGCTCCTGTTTTACATATAAATCCTGCAATCTTATTTTGGCATAGGCCTGAGACTGAACCACAGCCACAGAGCTCCCTACTAGTGGTGCACGGAAATAAAATGCTGAAACTGAAAATAAAAAATTGTCGTGCCGAAACAAAACCGAACATTATTTTTTTATAACCTTTTTAGTTTTTTTTAAATATTACATTTTTATTTATTTTTTCTAAACTTTTTATTTTATTTTTGTTTATTTTTTAATAAATATTTATATTTTTTTACTTTACTGTCGGGGGCTCTGGGAAAATATCAGGGGTCTAAACAGACCCATGATATTTCCCTTTTAAAATAGAAAAAGAAATTGAGGACACCGTCAACTATGGACAACTGTTCACACCTGTGGATGCATTATTGAAACACTATGAGAGTTATTCACTTACCTGCCGAAGGATCTAGCCGTAGCTCCGGCTACTCACAATAGCCTGTACAACAGCAGAAGGCATCCGAGGAGCTCGGCTGAGCCGAATGCATATGCCTCGGCTCGGCTAAACTGAAGTGACAGCCGAAGCGGGTAGAAGTGACAGCCGAAGCGGGGAGAATGGTCTGCCAAAGCAGACCATGTTCCCTGCTACTGACAACAACTGGGCGGAGCCAACCATAATGTGACGGCTGGCTCCACCAAGTTGTTATCAATCAATGACAGGCCAGCCTCCTCAGGTTATTTGATGACACTGGGCTGTCATTAAATGACAACCACTGTAGTCAGGTATGGCTGGCTCCGCCTATTTATTTTTATTTGTCCGGGACACGTGGGCAGACTGTCAGTTGCTTGCAGCATTTTTGCAGATTGCACTGGACCGGAACGCAGGCACTAATGCCATTGACCTTAATGCACCACCAGGCCCCCTCCCGCCCCTGAACGCAGGGAGCCAGTCGGCTTGCGTTCCAGGGCGTTCCAGAGGCCGAACGCTCTGGAATGCAAACTTTGTTGTGTAAACCGGCACTAAGAGTTAAAGTCACCCCCCCCAATCTTTGACCCTGAAACTGAATAAACTCATCTTGTGGAGCCTCTTGGCCTGAAGATTACAGTGCAGGACTCCTGCACTAATCATTAAAGGATAATTAAACCTTCAGATTTTTTTGCATATATCTACTGCTAGCACACAGTAGATATATGCAAAAACATAAAAAAACAAAAAGTTTTCAAAAAGGTTAAACCTTACCTGTGTCTCCGCCACGTGCTCCCGTCCAAAGATCTGAAGATTCTCGGGTGGCCTGAAAAGAATCATTGGGCAAGCGCATGCGCAGTAGAGATCTTCGGACGGGAGAAGAGGAGAGACACAGGGTAAGTGAAAGCAGGCAGCGTGTACCCGCACAGACACCATTGAACACAGGAGACGCAGCAGTCAGTGTTGGATCAGAGACCCATACCAGCGCTGAAGGGACTCCTGAAAACTACTGGAAAGAAGAAGATGATCGGATCAAGAGGCATCATTAATAGTAAGTCCTTAAAGCAGCACGGAGGGGAGAACCTTTTTTAAAAAATTTAATGTTACTTTAAGCCTGCACCACATATGGTCAGGGATCTCAACCTGAAAAAAAGCAATTTCAGGGAGGTGCCCTTCTCATTTCAGGGAGGGGGGGGGGAGCACCTCCCTGAATGAAATGATTGCAGATAGCACAGGAAGCAATAGCTTCTTTGCTATCTGCTGGGGTTTATTTTTTTATTCTGACAGCTGCTGCCGTCAGAATAATAAAAAAAAAACAGCATAGGAATGAATAGCGAGATTGCTATTGGCTAGTTCAATTTGCAATTGCCAATAGCAAGCTGGCTATTGCACCCACCCTCTGCTCCTGTCAGTCAGTAAAGGAGGACCTGATGGAGAACTGCAGGTCCACCTCAGCTGATTGACAGCAGCAGTGGGTGGGTGCAATTGCTGGTCTGCTATTGGCTATTTCAGTTTGCAATAGCCAATAGCAATCTAGCTATTCATTCCTATGACGTTTTTTTTTTTTCTGACTGACGGCAGCCCCGATGTCAAGAAGAAAAAAAAACAGAGCAGGGAAAGGTTTACTCTGCTAAATTGAGTCGAGTAAACCTTTCCAGGAGAAAATGTTTCTCTCCAAGGCGTCCGTGAGACTTGCAGGAGACTCCCGGAACATCCAGGAGAGTTGAGATGTCTGTATGGTAATCACTAAGCACTTATTTACTATCCCAGGTGTAGATAACCTTGGCAGACCTCTGTCTGTGGGAGTCATGCCTGTGGCTGTCAAAGTCTTGCAATGCCTCATGGGACTTGTAGTACCACAGGAGCTGGAGTGCCGAGGTTGACTACCCCTGTATTCTCCTAATCCTTCTACTTGGAAAATCTTAATGTATCCCTGCAAACTTTTTCCTCCTTTTTTTGTATAATATGTGACTTTCCAATCAAGGATAATCATGTATTGGTTAAACAGTTCAGATAAATTGTATGTTGAATTGTTTCTCAACAACAGCATTTATATTTGCTTTTTGTCCTCTGGTTTTCAGAATTTCTGTTTTCCTATAGCATAGCCTAACAGCATGTTTACCTTTTATATCAAAATTATAAGATTAGTGGCCAGCCACAGTCATTGTGGGGTTATGATGAGAATTGTCACATTTTACATAGTTTCTGAGATAAGGAAAGGATGTTCAGTGCTTATCAGCTCGTTACCGTGCAGACAACAACCACTGAGTCATCATATAAATATTTATGCTTATGTCTGCTTATTATAATGACATTCACAGGAGCGGCATATGGCTGACTGATTTACTGATGAAATGTTGTGCCTGTTGACAG